TTTATTAACCCCTTGATGCCGACCGAACGCAAAGAGCCTCGGGTCTTGTACTAAAGATCAGGACCAGGAACTCCCGAATCACCTGATTGCTGAGACGGCCTCTGATTGGCTATCACAATGATCAGTCACTGTGTAGCCCGGCCCCTTGTTTTCTCCCTCTGAATGGAGGAGATACATTGTATCTCTCTTTGTCCTTTTTAGAGAGAAAAAAAAACAAGTATGTGTAATAAATAAATAAAAATAATAACTAAAAATAAAAAATTAAAAAAATAAACAAAAATACCTAGATCAAGGTTTGATCTAGGTCTGTGTCAGGGTTAGTGTTTGGGTCAAGGTCAGGGCCAAAGGTCAAGGTCAGGGTCAAAGGTCAGGGTCAAGGGTCAGAATCTTATTTATTTTTGGGGGGCACAATTTTTTAAAGTTTCTAAAATTAGTATAAAAAAAAACAAATTGGCCACTATTGTTTCTGGGAAGTATTACGGGTACAAACAACAACTAACATACACACATGTGGTTTTCTCTTTTATTCGGGTAGCGGCGGAAAGCGGGCATCATGATTGACGTTGGATCTACTTCGGAGGACATTTTTTTTAATTTTTAGTTTTATAAAAAGACTTATCAAAGGAATGTCTCCTGTCTTTTTTTACACTACACATTTTTTTTGTGAATGGGTAGCGGGCAGCCCCCCCAGCCCAAAGCACCTTTGATATGGTTCAGGGTGGGTATTCATACGCCCTGACCTGCCGGGCTGCATGCTCCGATAAGGGTCTGACGTGGATTTTGGGGGGGCTCCAATCCATTTTTTATTTTGGTATGGGGGTTCCCCTCAAAATCCATACCAGACCTGAAGGGCTTGGTATGGATGGGATGGGGGACCCCACATAGTTTTTTAAACATTTTTTTAATAGTTGGGCAATACCAACAATTCTTTTTCCATTTAGCTGTCAGCGGTGAACCCCACTGACACCAGGAACCCCACTGGATGGGGGACCCCACATAGTTTTTTAAACATTTTTTTTTTAATAGTTGGGCAATACCAACAATTCTTTTTCCATTTAGCTGTCAGCGGGGAACCCCACTGACACCAGGAACCCCACTGACACCAGGAACCCCACTGACACCAGGAACATGAATGAATGAATGTCTCACTACTAAAACACCGCATGCCTTCATCATAGAACTCCCCGCCGGATTGTAGTCACCGAGCCATGTAATTGCGCCATATGATATGCCTCGTGATCTGGCGGGAACTCTGCACAAGGAATACTCGTGATATGAGGTTTCAGCATTACCCTAATGGGAAGTATGTGAGTAATCCACTCTACACCCTGTTCCAAAATTATTCTGCAAATTCTATTTAAGTGTCACAAAGATGAAATCTTTTGTTTTTCAGTGTAACTCATGGATGGCATTGTGTGTCAGGGCTCTTTTGATCACTGAAAACAATCTGGGACACCTGTGATAATTAGATTGGCCGGTGAGCCCAATTTAAGGAAAAACTACTAAAGGAGGGCGTTCCACATTATTAAGCAGAGCACCATTTTCAAGCAATATGGGGAAGAAAAAGGATCTCTCTGCTGCCGAAAAGAGTGAAATAGTTCGATGCCTTGGACGAGGGATGAAAACATTCGATATTTCAGGAAAACGTAAGCGTGATCATCGCACTATGAAGAGATTTGTGGCTGATTCAGAGCACAGACGGGTTGGTGCAGATAAAGACACATCGAGGAAGATTTCTGCCAGATTCATGCATCGGATCAAGAGAGCAGCTGCTAAAATCCCATTACATAGCAGCAAACAGATATTTGAAGCTGCTGGTGCCTCTGGAGTCCCACGGACATCAAGGTGTAGAGTCCTCCAGAGTCCTGCAACTGTGCAGAAACCTTCTATTCGGCCACCACTAACCAATGCTCACAAGCAGAAACGGCTGCATTGGGCAGAAAAATACATGAAGACTCATTTTCAAACAGTCCTGTTCACTGATGAGTGCCGTGCGACCCTGGATGGTCCAGATGGATGGAGTAGTGGATGGTTGGTGGACGGCCACCCTGTTCCAACAAGGCTGCGACGTCAGCAAGGCGATGGTGGAGTCATGTTTTGGGCCGGAATCATGGGAACAGAGCGGGTCGGCCCCTTTAGGGTCCCCGAAGGTGTAAGGATGACCTCTGCAAAGTATGTGGAGGTTATGACTGACCACTTTCTTCCCTGGTACAGAAGGAAGAACTATGCTTTCCGTAATAAAATCATCTTCATGCATGACAATGCACCATCTCATGCTGCAAAGAATACCTCTGCATCAATGGCTGCTACGGGGATAAAAGGAGAGAAAGTCATGGTGTGGCCTCCATCCTCCCCCGACCTCAATCCTATTGAGAACCTTTGGAGCATCCTCAAGCAAAAGATCTATGAGGGTGGGAGGCAGTTTACATCCAAACAGCAGCTCTGGGAGGCTATTCTGACATCTTGCAAACAAATTCAAGCAGAAACTGTCCAAAAAACTCCCCAAGTTCAATGGATGCCAGACTTGTGATCTGCTATCAGATAAGGGCTCCTATGTTACAATGTAACGTGACCGCTTCAAATGTTTACAAAGTTACAATGTTGGGAAAAGTTTGATTGAAATAGCTTTTGATTTCAGTAAATTTGCTGCAAACACAACAAATGACAATTTTCAGTTCTTTACAACCTAGAAAGTGTTTGGAAACTTCCTGTGCGGAATAATCCGGAACACAAATCCTGTTATCATTAGGAGGTTTGTTCAATAAAATGTGAATTGTCCTCTTCTAGTTGTCACCTGAGAATTCTGCCGACTGATATTTACATCAATTATTGAGGGAAATGAGAACAATATAATTTGCCTAATAATTTGGAACACGGTGTATATCTACAACATGACAATCAAGTCTCAACGGGCTGAGATTCTATTTCCTGGGAAGGGGCGAGGTCATTAGCCTCTCCACCCCTCACCTCACCCCCACATTCTCCCGCCCGCATCACTCACCTCCTAACCGATATCTCAGACTGGATGTCGCTTCATTTCCTCAAGCTTAACCTCTCCAAAACCGAGCTTCTCGTCTTCCCCCCAGCCCGCGCCCCCCCCCCCCCCCCATCCTATCCATCACTACCAACAACAACACCACCATCAATCCCGCCCTGCAAGCCAAATTCCTTGGCGTCAATCTGGACTCAAACCTCTCCTTCCAACCTCATGTCAAATCACTTACAAACACATGCAGACTCCACCTTCGCAACATCGCCAAAATACGTACGTTCCTTACCCCAGACACCACTAAACTACTCGTACACTCCCTGATTATCTCACGCCTGGACTACTGCAACTCCCTCCTCACCGGCCTACCCCAGTGCAGGCTCTCCATGCTTCAGACCATCCTGAACTCATCGGCCAGACTCATCCACCTCACCAGCCGCTCCACCTCTGCCACCCTCCTCTGCCAATCCCTCCACTGGCCTCCACTCAGTGTCCTCCACCCCCCTCTGCCAATCCCTCCACTGGCTCCCTATTGCCCAACGCATCAAATTCAAACTACTCACTCTGACCTACAAAACCATTCACAACACTGCCCCTAACTACCTCACCAACCTGATTATCAGGTACCACCCTACCCGTACCCTTCGCTCTTCTCAGGACCTCCTTCTATCTTGCTCCCTGGTCTCCACCTCCCACGCAAGACTGCAAGACTTCTCCAGGTCCTCCCCCCATCCTCTGGAACTCACTACCCCAATTCATCAGACTGTCACCTTCCCCTCCTCACCTTCAGGCGCTCCCTGAAAAACCGACCTCTTCAGGGAAGCCTACCCCACCCTCACCTAACAGCCGTCCTCCTTCATTCCTCCTACCACTCCATCCCCCACAGCCACTTCCTCCTGTACCACTACCCCCTCCCCTCCTAGATTGTAAGCTCGAAAGAGTAGGGCCCTCTAACCCCTCATGTGCTGTTTGTTGTTGCTGTACTGTTTCATGTTGTGTCCCCCCCCCTCAATGTAATGTAATGTATTTAGCCAGTACAGCGGTGGTGAGGGGGTGCATCGTATGAACATCACTGAATGTCACTGCACACCTCAGCTGAAGTTCTGCAATTTCTTCTCAGCTCCACAATGCAATTGCCAGGATGTGTATCTGGAGGAACACCCAGAGGGGATAACGATATCTACATATTTTCCCGATATTTGGAGGCTTAAACCGCACAGTAATGAAGCTATGAAGGAACATGGGACAGTATGAATCTTTCAGCACTGTATATTTCCATGGGGACTCCTTCCTGCACTCCAATGGACATACTCATATCTTTTTTCCACTTCTCACGCATCCATTGATCATGCATATCTAGCTATATACTTGGCTATTTTTGTGTCTCACTGCTATCACTGTATATGTAGGATATAAATGTGTACAACACACCGCCTTGTGATACGCGGCTGAATTTTGGCTAATTTTTGCTATCATGCTGCTGTATATCTCAAACCAGTCAAAGTGAATACCACTAGAAAAAATATTCAATGTGCAATCCGGATTGCTTGTTTTTAATGTGTATTCAGTGATTGTTTCATGTCTCCATCTATGGATTTTACCTTTTTTCCCAAAGGGAATAATAAAAATGTGATTTTACATATAAGCTACATTGCTTGGGTGTTTATTACCTACTTCGGTAGTTGGTTCATGGTAACTACTACTACTTCTTTTTTTTTTTTTTTGCTTGATTGTATACACCTGTGGCCATGGAGGGGATTGGAGCACCTGAATCACATGATTTGGAGGGCAGGGATAATACTTTTGGCAATATAGTGTACAATTAAAAATCTTCCAATGGTTTATTAACTGCTTAAGGACCGCCTACCTCAGTTTTACTGTGGAGGAGTGTCCCCGCTGTGCCAGATCACGTACATCTACCTGATCTGGTATTTCTGGGTAGGGGCTTGATTTTATACACCTGTGGCCATGGAGGGGATTGGAACACCTGAATCACGTGATATGGAGGGGATTGGAACGCCTGAATCACATGATATGGAGGGGATTGGAACGCCTGAATCACATGATTTGGAGGGGATCGGAACGCCTGAATCACATGATATGGAGGGGATCGGAACACCTGAATCACATGATTTGGAGAGGATCGGAACGTCTGAATCACATGATATGGAGGGGATTGGAACGCCTGAATCACATGATATGGGGGGGATTGGAACACCTGAATCACATGATATGGAGGGGATTGGAACACTTGAATTACATGATATGGAGGGGATTGGAACACCTGAATCACACGATTTGGAGGGGATCGGAACACCTGAATCACATGATTTGGAGGGGATCGGAACACCTGAATCACATGATATGGAGGGGATTGGGACACCTGAATCACATGATTTGGAGAGGATTGGAACACCTGAATCACATGATATGGAGGGGATTGGATCACCTGAATCACATGATATGGATGGGATTGGAACACCTGAATCACATGATTTGGAGAGGATTGGAACACCTGAATCACATGATATGGAGGGGATTGGAACACCTGAATCACATGATTTGGAGGGGATTGGAACATCTAAATCACATGATATGGAGGGGATTGGAACACCTGAATCACATGATATGGAGGGGATTGGAACATCTAAATTACATGATTTGGAGGGCTGGCCCAATACTTCTGGCAATATAGTGTATCTTAGAAAACTAAAGAATGTATTAATAATAAGAAGTGTAAAATGGGAATGTGCTTTACCCGAGGTAGCGATAAGGATCCTTGTAGGATTGACAGACCTGAACATATCGTGTCCGGAAGCAATATTCGGGGCTCGTATTATAGTCAGTAAACTTGAATGAAGGTCTATATATCCACCTGGTTACCTTGAGACTATAAACTCCTCTGGAAATGAGCCGTCAGTCAAACCGAACATAAACATTCCTTTCAGTGCTGTAAACTTGGAGTTTTATATCAAATGTTCAGGAAGTTGTGTAATAAAAAATGTTGGAGTATTTTTAGAAAACACCATAAAGAGGAAAGTCAGGACTGAACTAGTATGTTGGTGACTGATTAAGCTGGTTGGTGGCTGGGTGGTGGGAGCTCCGGTCACACTTTCTATATAAGAAGTTGGCTGTTTTATGGGATTACCATGATGTAGGCTTTCAATCTAGGTACTGTATACCGCTCTACCTCCTGATATCCTTGGTATATATACAGTAGGTACCGGGGTGGCACCCAACTCCGGGCTGATGGCTCTCAAGAACTTGTATTCAATATAACGTTCACATTGCCGGGTACGAAGTATAAGAAAGAGTCAAGTGCTGAATGAGAGCTGAGGCCGTGCCGGGTCTACACTCATCAACAATTCATCCCTCAATCACAAGGTGTTCTCAGCTCGTGTCCAAACCTTCAGACCAATGTACTGAAGGCGGAGCTGGGAACATTTACATTTGCATGGATTTTAAAAAAAAAAAATTTCAAAGAAATTTGAAGACCAAGTTCACCCTTTAGAACATGGTACGTGTTTTACCCGTAGTTAGGGTAGAACATGTAATGTGTTCCAGATCCTAATGAAACTTGCAGTGCCGCTCAAAGCTGAGACAGAGAACTTATAAATATAGACCTCTATTAAAAATAGAACAATAGACCACGTATAACAATAGACAAAAAAACCACAAAAATAGACTAATAGACCACGTATAACAATAGACTAAAAAAACACATAAAAATAGACTAATAGATCGCTTATAACAATAGACAAAAAAACACATAAAAAATAGACTAATAGATCGCTTATAAAAATAGACAAAAAAAACACACAAAAAATAGACTAATAGATCGCTTATAAAAATAGACAAAAAAAAACACAAAAAAAATAGACTAATAGATCGCTTATAACAATAGACTAAAAAAAAACACATAAAAATAGACCAAATAGATCGCTTATAACAATAGACAAAAAAAAACACATAAAAATAGACTAATAGACCGCTTATAAAAATAGACTGAAAAAAACACAAAAATAACTAATAGACGCTAAAAAAATAGACAAAAAAAACACAAAAATAGACTAATAGATCGCTTATAACAATAGACTAAAAAAAAAACACTTAAAAAATAGACTAATAGATCGCTTATAAAAAACAATAGACAAAAAAAACACATAAAAAATAGACCAATAGACCACTTATAAAAAATAGACAAAAAAAAACACATAAAAATCACCAATAGACCACTATAAAAATAGACAAAAAAAACACATAAAAAATAGACTAATAGACCACTTATAAAATAGACTGAAAAAATCACTTATAAAAATAGACTAAAAAACACATAAAAATAGACTAATAGACCGCTTATAAACAATAGACTAAAAAAAAAATAGACACTTATAAAATAGACAAAAAAAACACATAAAAATAGACTAAAAAAATCACTTATAACAATAGACTAAAAAATCACATAAAAATAGACTAAAAAACCACTTATAAAAATAGACTAAAAAAACATAAAAATAGACTAATAGACCACTTATAACATTATACTAAAAAAAAATCACATAAAAATAGACTAATAGACCACTTATAACAATAGACAAAAAAAACACATAAAAATAGACTAATAGACCACTTATAACAATAGACTAAAAAAACACATAAAAATAGACTAATAGACCACTTATAACAATAGACTAAAAAATCACATAAAAATAGACTAATAGACCACTTATAACAATAGACAAAAAAAACATAAAAATAGACTAATAGATCACTTATAAAAATAGACTTAAAATATCACTTATAAAAATAGACTAAAAAACACATAAAAATAGACCAATAGACCGCTTATAACAATAGGCTAAAAAAAAAAATCACTTATATAAATAGACCAATAGACCACTTATAAAAAATAGACTAAAAGACCACTTTATAAAAATATATTTATAGACCCCTAAAGAAAGACAGACCACTTATAGACTCACCACTTACTAGACCATTCTAATACATTGGTGGACTCTTATCCCCTTTGTGACAGCGATAAGGTTACACTAAAAAAAAAGTTTTAAAGATGTATATATATGATAACATAGGTAATAACAAAGTAATAGTTTAATCAATCCCGGTGCCATGCTCCCACTCGTGAATGCAAACACACGTGTAGAATATGCACATGTATGTAAACAGCAATTCACTTTCAAATTGATGACCTGTGAAGGCTTTGAAGGGGTCACTTTCGGACACCAGATTTTTGTCATTTTATGGGAATGCACAATTTTAAAGTTTGTCACGTTAGGTATTTGTTTATTCCACACAAGTTCATCTTTTATCTTTCATTTCATTTTTTATAATAAAAAGTCCTGGATTCTTTCTTGGATACACAGAATATAACTGGATAGAACATTTATAGGGAAAGTTGATCCCGGGAATATCCGATTGCCTCTCGGGGGGTCAGGAAGGAATATTTCCCCTGCAGGAGCAGATTGGATCGTACTTTGCTGGGTTTTTGCCTTCCTCTGGATCAACTGTGGATGGAGGATTATAACTTTTTTTTTTTTTTCTATGTTTGATCTGGATGGACTTTTGTCTTTTTTCAGCCAGACTAACTATGGAACTATGGGACTATTTTTTATACTTTACCAAAAATGTAAATATTATATTGTGTTGGTAAGCAACTCATTTCAGTGCATTTTTTTTCCTAAAAGTTTACGTTTGATAAATATTTTTACAAATATAATTGAAAAAAAAATTAAATTGCCACCATTTTGTTCTACAGAACATGTGCTTCAAGAATTTATATGACTGTTGTTGGGGTTTAAATAGTTTTCTAGCAAATGCTGCAGATTTTATTATGTGTTAGAAATAAATGCATTTTTGGTCTTATTAACTACTTCATCTCCAGAAGATGTTCCCCCCTTCATGACCAGGCCATTTTTTTTGCTATTCAGCACTGCGCTACCATAACTGGCATTGATTGGTTTGTGCTGTAGCGAATGACAGCACATCCGCCCCCTACCCAGAAATACCAGATCAGGTAGATGTACGTGATCTGGCACAGCGGGGCCACTCCTCCACAGTAAAACTGAGGTATGCGGTACTTAAGCAGTTAATAAACCATTGGAAGATTTTTACTTGTACATTATATTGCCCAAAGTATTGCCCCCCCCCCCCCATCATGTGATTCAGATGCTCCAATCCCCTCCATGGACACAGGTGTATACAATCAAGCCCCTAGGCATGCAGACTGCTTCTACAGACATTGGTGAAAGAATGGGTCGCTCTCAGGAGCTCAGTGACTCCAAGCGTGGTCCCGTGATAGGTGGCCACCTGGGCAATAAGTCCATCCGTGACATTTCCTGGCTACTAAATATTCCACCAACTGTTAGTGGGATTATAACAAAGTGGAAGCCACTGGGAACAACAGCCACTCAGCCACCAAGTGGTAGGCCACGTCACATGACAGAGCGGGGTCAGCGCATGCTGAAGCGCACAGTGCGCAGAAGTCGCCAACTGTCTGCAGAGTCAATAGCTAAAGACCTCCAAACTTGGTGTGGCCTTCAGATGAGCCCAACAACAGTGCGTAGAGAGCTCCATGGAATGGGTTTCCATGGCCGAGCAGCTGCACCCAAGCCTTCCATCACCAAGTGCAATGCAAAGCGTCGGATGCCGTGGTGTAAAGCATGCCGCCACTGGACTCTAGAGCAGAGAGGACGTGTTCTCTGGAGTGACCAATCACACTTCTCTGTCTGGCAATTCGATGGATGTGTCTGGGTTTGGTGGTTGCCAGGAGAACAGTACTTACCTGACTGCATTGTGCCAAGTGTAAAGTTTGGTGGAGGGGGATTATGGTGTGGGGTTGTTTTTCAGGGGTTGGGCTTGGCACCCTAGTTCCAGTGAAGGAAACTCTTAAGGCGTCAGTATACAAAGACATTTTGAACAATTTCATGCTCCCAACGTTGCGGGAGGAGTTTGGGGATGGCCCCTTCCTGTTCCAACATGACTGCACACCAGTGCACAAAGCAAGGTCCATAAAGACAAGAAGGAGCCAGTTTGGGGAGGAGGAACTTGACTGTCCTGCACAGAGTCCTGACCTCAAACCCATAGAACACCTTTGGGATGAATTAGAGTGGAGACTGCGAGCCAGGCCTCCTCCCCCGACATCAGTGCCTGACCTGACAAATGTGCTTCTGGAAGAATGGTCCAACCTTCCCATAGACACCCTCCTAAACCTTGTGGACGGCCTTCCCAGAAGAGTTGAAGCTGTTATAGCTGCAAAGGGCCAACTTAATATTGAACCCTATGGACTAAGACTGGGGGGCCATTAAAGGTCATGTGCATGAAAAGGCCGGCGGCCCAATACTTTTGGCAATGTGTGTCAGGGTCCTGTCCATGGCAGGAGTTCTGGAAGATCTGGCATTTCTGCCAGTACTCTACATGGCCGTAGAAGTACACATCAGCCTCAGTGTGGTGCCAGATGGCCTTTATAAGGAGGCTCATCACTTCCCCTGGTTGCTGGATGATCTCTAGCTCCCCGTGCCCTGTTCCTGTTTCCTGTGGTTCTGACCTGTGATTTCCTGTTACCGACCCGGCTTGCTCCTGGACCCGTCTACTCTGCTTTACCCCTGATCTGACCTCGGCCTG